AAATCCAAAACACAGCCCCACACTAGCTACTGTGAAGAAAATTAACTCTATCCCAGCCAAAGCCAGTACAAGCTTGTTACAGAAATTTCAATGGGATACATGTGTGTCCATCATTACTAATTATGTGTTTGTGTGTAAGTTATGAGTGTTCGGTAATTGTGCTTTAGGCCACGACAGTTCTGGGTAGATTCCTCTTCATCCTACTCTTTGCCTCTTTTTTCCCTCTACCCAAACTAGTTATCCAGGGTTTAGTACTGACTGTGTTTACTCATTACTCTCCTCTCTCTTTTCCCCCCCACCCCAAAGGGAGAAGGGGATAGTGTGAACTCGCCATCTTCTGACATTATTGAGAATTTGTACCTAGCAGATCCAGATGCCATCGTGTCTTTCCAGGCTGGCTTGTATCATTACCAGCTCAGTTTTAAAGGTACTCATTTTAAAGGTTCTCATTTACAACTACGCAGTGCTTTACAAAAACTAACTTGCAAGCTATCCCAGCTTTTAGAAGCTATGACTTCTTTTACTGACACTACCAGATTTACTGATTGGAAGGGGAAGCGAGGTAGTGATGGCCCAGAGGAAATTCCTTACAAAAGTAACCTTCCCCCTTATTCCTTGACACTATCCAGATGCACATTGGACCAGAAATGAAAAGACCCATAGGCTTCACATAAACTCACAGTAAACCTTAAGTAAAGTGAGATAACCCTGTGGATGGTAAAAATGAAAAATCGAGCATCTTTCTGTGCTGCTGGAGCAACGTTTAAAGAGCATGAATGACTTAAGGGAGCAAGCAAGATAGGCACAGGTTAAATAACAATTACAGGAAGGACAAGAAGCTTACATAGGCTTTGTGCAACTATTCTTCAGCAGATAGAATTGACAATGATATTAATGAATATTTTCATTAATGAATGACTGTCATTAATTAATGACCCCATCTTGTAGACCTATTCATGACTTTTTCCTTCTCTTTTCTCTTCAAGAAATGACCCAGACAAACGTGTCTTTTAAAACTCGAAGACAGGTCTGCAGGCGACCAAAGTTTTTGTCTTCTGAAGATGTGCAGAAGATAAAGAAAGGGTAAATGATGCTCTCAAGTTTTTTTTTTAATCCCGTATTTCAGAAGTAATTGTAAGACAAAACAGCTGCCAGTGTTGGCAGTAATTGTGCAAAGAACGCAGCTGTTGCTAGAAGAAAACATACCCATTTGACTGAACAGAAGCTGTATCACAAACTGTTGGCTTGGTGCATCACCTGGTTTCTGGGGTACACGTTACTCCAGGTACCACATCCACAGGACTGGTGAAGAAACAAGTGGAAGAGGACTGTGACAATTGAATGGCAGCATGCAAAGCCCAGCTCACAGAATGAGGCCGTTTCCCAGTTTCTTGTGGTTTATTTTGTTTATTTTTAAATGTAGGAATTGGCCAAAGGGGATGCTGCCAATTTGAATGTTCAGAGCAGGACTAGAATTACTAACACCTTGCTTTGTCTGTTTGCAAACAGCCAGAGGGATTCTTCTATTCCAGATCAAGCCTGTCCTACCCACTGGGATCAATCTGCACTGCCTGAGTTGGGATACAAGGTATCTTACCTTTTTTTTCTTTTTTTTCTTTTTTTTTTTTCCCTCTTGTAATTCTGATGGAAAGGCACGATTCAAAGAAGAACGCTGCTTAACTGAAGCAATTGTAACTGGGTAGATGCTAAAAAGTGACAGGAGTGACTTCTTGGGTGGGTATGCTAAAGAGCTAGGTGATCTCCCAAGAGCTCCTGAAAAAGGTGCCAAATTCCCATGAACTTCATCTGCGTTTTAGGCATCTATCCACATGCAAAAATAAAACTCACCAAATTCAAGACAAAAAGATTCACTGTTAAAAATGAAAAAATGGCTTACCTTGGTGACTTGGTGGACCAGTTAAGCAAGGAGCTTCCATGAAGCTCCTCTTCTTCACTAGAAGCTGGGCTGAGACCAAACCCTTTCTGTGTAGGCCATTAAAAAGCCATCCAATAATAATACCATCATGGCTGTTGGTGGATAAAGTTTGGATTGGAGACCTAAGAAAGGAAATCTCTATATGCTCTTTCAAGTCACCCAGTACTGTCACATACATCACAGATCTGAGCACAGACCATGGCCCCAAGGAATGGCAGAAATAGAGAGTTACAGCCCAGAATATAAAAAAACATTTGCAGTGATCTCTTCAACAAACCAAACCCCTGCCAGCCCAAAATCTGTGTTCCTATTTGGTCTACCACAAGCAAAAATGTGCAGGTGTTTTTTAAATTACTAGGTCTAATGGTATTAAGAAGCAGTCCTTCTGGAAGTACTACAGTATGCTAGAAAAAAGGCTTTTCACTGTTACGCTTGCCCGTTTTTGTAGTGGTTTTGATCCTGATAAAGGAACAGCACATAATGTGGAGCATAAGAGGTTTTCCTTGTTGACTGTGTCACAAAATCTTGTATGATGCTGACCAAGTTGTATCGGCACAGATGTCTTGATGGCTAGGGACAGGACAGAAGTAATAGCATATTTCCAGAATTCTTTCTGGCTACTTTTGGTTGACAGAGAGCTCCCTTGCTATTCTCACTCTTTGTATTTTATTTTCCCTAGTGTAGTTACATTGGCAGTGGCATGAGAACCAGAAATGCCATGTCTCTCGGCTTCCGTGGGCTGGTTTCCATTATTCTGCTTTGTGGTGAATGTTTCATTTTTCCCTGACTACCCTCTGGTGTTGGATTATGCCTGACTCAGTGTAACAGCAGTATCTGGCCACGTGTGTATATAGCAAAGTCATCTAAATACAGTTCTGATGAAAAATCGATGGGTAAAATTTAAGTCTGTACATTAGCTCCCTTCAAATAGCTGTTTTTCACAATTAGCAAAAAAAACCCTAATTTTTTGAGATTGTAAAAGTGTCAGGTGTCCAGTACCTGCTGAATGAACTAATAATGAGTTTGTGTGGGAATCTGGCAGCCAGACCTTTTGAAGATTTGGGCCTGTGATATTATGAGCTCTGTCAAAATAATAAAGGATATAGCTAATCAGCTCTTCCCTTGGCTTATCAGCAGCCTAACTGATTAACATAAGCTTAAATTTTTCAAAAGAATGCCAGGAAGACAGGTAGCTCAGTTCTTTTTAGGTCTCAGAGTTGCATGTACTTAACTGCTTCCCTTATTTACCCTGAAAACTTCAGTCTGAATTTTAGTTGAGCCCATTTGTTTGGGCATTCCCGGAGTCACTGAGGTGAGTGTGAGAGGCTTTGGAATGCGATGTGCAGATCCATGGTGTCGCTGGTGGTACTTGTGGGGATGCGTGAAATAGAAGGATCACCTTGTTTCCCAGAGCTCAGTTTGCTTGCTGAGTTGGCACCTAAGAAAACCATTTCTTAACTTTGTAAACCGAATGCCTTTCATAGGAAAGGAAAAGTTAATTCTGTACCTAAAAAGTGGCAAAGCCCACAGTACCTGTTGGCACGAAAAGTGAAAGTCTGGGCTAGATTAAATATTTCTGTGGGACCCTAAGCTTGTTTTTTTGCAGTAGGTAATATTGGGACTGGCTGGGATTCTGCATGCATGTGGTGACCATCGTAACATCTGACAATTACGACTTGATGAATTCCCTTCTCTTCAGACATTGACAAATAATCCTGGCAAAATTTGCTGCGCTGGAAGTGATCCATTTTAAAAAGGAACACCTATTTGAGATAGGGAGAAAGTCATCTTTGCTTAAAAAGAGCAGCTCTGTTTTGTAACATTGCTTATTTTTTGAGTGTTGCAGTGTCTTAATCTGTAAACCGTTTAGAATCATAGTTCTATAGAAAGTAGAGTGTATGAAATGCGCAAGGGAAATTGGTAACACCAGTTGGAAAGTTGGTGCAGATCTCTTCTGTCTTTGGTTAACAAAGTGGAATTAGTAGTTGGTAAACCTTTTAAAGGCAAAAAAAAGGAAATGATATTGTCTTGGAACTTCATGCTGGGTTTTAAATTGTATCTTTGATGTACAACTGAGAAATGTGTGCAATGACTATGTGTTTTTATGTCCGAGGATGTCTTTGTGTGGCTGCTATGTTGCTGAATCCTGACACACGTGCCAAAGATTGCTGTGCTGTAACAGAATGGGAGCTGATGCAACGTGGAGAGTCTATCTGTATACTTCATAGACATTAGTTCTAGTTGGGTCACTGTCACTAATACAAACTATGCTCCTTCCAAAACCTAAGTTAGCCGGAGATCACGGTTTGATATCGGAGAGTACTGTTCGTTGTACGGTCATGTGCTCATAGACATTATTGTCAGGGCAGCGATTCTTTCTCTGCCTCAGAAACTCCACTCCTTGGTAGTGGGTTAGCAAATGCTTATCCTCTCTAGGATTTTCCTTTTTAGGTCTGAAGATGAAAAGAGCTAAAGAAGTTATGTTGCTATGAAGTATCAACCTGCAGTAGCAATGTGGTGTTACCCTTTATTAACAGGGGAAGTGTCCTTGGGGAAAGGAGGACAATCCCACAAAGTTTTTGTGCCAAAGAGAACTGGCTTTGTTGCTTGGAGGCCGTCATATGATAAAATAATTGAAGTACCTTTCTTACAGGATTAGGCCTTGTACCATGTGGCTGACCCTCTGTTTTACCCAGAAAGGTTACAGTTCCTCAGTAAAAGATGCAACACAGCAAAAGCATATTTGTAGTCTAAATAAGAATTGTTTATGTATCGATAAAAGATGTAGTACTGAAATATAGTGACATAATTTCCATCTTGTAGGTATGTTGAGCAACTTGAGCTGTGGTGTCACAGAGCATGCAGATAATAAACACTCGCCCATCCAAATTGTTTTATGTGTTGTGTTGTAAAGAGGCTTTGCAAAATATTCTTGTATTAAGACATGGGAAATTTCATTCAACCTTGTAAAAGCCTTTTAATAAATTCAAAGAAATAATTCTTCCTTGTGCAGCTGACTTTATTCTTAATCCTTAGAAGACTTTCCTACGATAGGCCTCTTCTTCAGTAAGTATTTAATGTACAAGCTGGACATGGTGTCCAGAAAAACAGTGCTTTATTTATATGCAGCTGTGAAATACAAGTCCTATTTTATCTCCCCTCTAAACTCAGCCTTCTAAAACGTGGAGCTTTTGCCTGACGAGTTAAGATCTTGATTTCGTATTACCTCCTAGGATGACCGCAGCTTTCCTGCTTACAAAACAACTTTGATACGTGGGATGTTGGGCATTTCACTTTAAGACATCCCGAGTCCCCACTTGACTTAGGCAGCAGTAAAGTGGGAAGTATTACCAAGTGACATCAGTCTGCCAGCATTATCCATTTTTCAGTCTGGTTTACAGAAGAGAAGTGTTTGTTCTAGAAGATTAAAGACAGATTACGTTGGGGAAAAAATTGGAAAATGTATGCATGACATAAGCAAGCAGAAGAGCTCGAATCATGTTTTAATTATGTTTTGCCTTAACTTTTCTTTGGGAAAAATGTGCGTTTCTTGATGGATTTTTAAACACGAAAAGTGTCAATTTACATATTAAGTGTCTGTCTTAATTATTCACAAAGTCACAATCTAAAGCATTAAATTAACCTTCGCAAGTATAGTTTGGGGACCCTTCTGGAAGTATATCTGCTGTAATTGGGCTTCTGTGTGTTACGAGCTAACTGAAGCCTCATGTCTTCTTTTGCTTTGGTTTGTATTTTATAGGCAGTAGACATCAGTAATACAACCTCTGAATACAACACAATAAAGCAGCTGTTTCTTCAGACTATGAAAAGCTACAATGTCCTTAAAATACAGAGGATTCAGAATCCATCCCTCTGGAAGGTGTTTCAGTGGTTAGTATTTGTTTCCTCGTCATTAAGGGGGGGAAGTCTCCAAGAGCTGGTGTCCTATATTTTCTGCCTAGGAAAGGAAAGACGTTACCACCTGTCCTTTAATGTGACCGATATTTCCTTCTTAGGGGCAGTTTCAGGAGTGAAATTAAGTGTCCAAGGCCTTCCAGAGAATGCCATGCTCCTGGGGGGAGGTTCCCTTTGCATGACTCCTTGGACGATGGGGGGAGGGGTATGGACAGAAAGACACAAGTGACACAAAATTGGGATGAGGATAGCCACAGTGATGTGGAATAGCATATTGTCTCAGGGGTTGAACAGTGACTGCCTGCTGCACATGCATTCTGTCTGTTACAAATGTTTCTCTGTTAAAGTATATGAAATACTTCCTAGAAAAGAAGTGGGCTAGGGTAAGGGTGCTTGGGCCTTTCTTCCCTCCCCCCACCTCTGGCAGTCAGATTTATTTAAGGCTTCTTCAAGTTTGAGTACCTTTGCTGAATGAAGTCAGTATTCACTGAGAAAGAGATCATTGAGTTAACGCATAAGGATTCCGAGTTCCAGAGCCCCTTCCTGGTCTTCAACACCTGCATCAGTGATACTGAACTCCAGGTACTTACGCCAAGCTAGATACTAACAGATTGGAGCTGGTGCTCGTGACAGTAAATGACCAGGTTCAGGTTAATTTGGTAGCAGATTAAGCTGTTGCACAGAACAGTTGTCTAGTTTAAAACAAAAGCACAGATACTTAATGGAAGTATTCAAGGACTGTATGGAATAGTAATGGAGAAGAAAAATACTGCTCAGATAAGTACTTTCACCTGCGAAGTGACTGAACCCAGGAAGTTATCAGCTAACAATTTCATAAAACCTTGTCATCCAGCAAAGCTTAAGACACTTCAAAACATGTCATAGTGCATACTTTTTCTCCTCCTCCAATGAGATAATTAAGCTAACCAGGCAAAGTTTAACATTGCCAAGTTTTCAACAAATTTCAACAAGGCCACTGCTCTTAACTTTTCATTTACGCAGTTTTACAAGTTGGAAGGATTCTCCCCTCTCCCCGGCTCTGTTTACTTTGTAGCTGATCACTTCCTGAAGAGTATTACTGCTTCAACAGCTTCTGAAAACCTGTGGGATGTCTGGATGCTGTGAAATGGTGACAGGAGATACCAGTTGAGCCTTCTGTTGTGATTCGTCTTTTGATACTGGTCATAGCTCAGCCTGACTCTGGCCTAAATCAGTAAGGTCTTCAGTGGTGAAAGAAGGCTGTTTCTCTCCTTCTGGCTCTGTCTCCTCAGCTGCACTGATCTCACCAAGGGGCAGGAGCTCAGGCTGGTGGAGGGTTACAACAGAAGAGGTGAGAGAGGGAACGTTAGGTGCGTGCAGCCGAGGCAGAAAGCCCATCTCAGCACAGCCCTGTCCTCTTGCAGGATGACTAGCCCCGTGTGTACAGCAGTTTGAGTTCGCTAGGGGAATGAAGAACAGGCTGCCTCTAGCTTTTACCTGCTGCTGGAGCATGGAGGCTCTGCGCTTAGTACAGCCTCCGCTCTGCAGAGAGTTTGGGGGTGGGAAGGGACAAGAGACATTAAAGCAGAACTAGTAGGACCCTACAGAGGAGCAAAAGGTTGGTACAGTGGGAACTAGAATAGTGTCAATGCTTACTTAAATTCACTGAAGAAAGCCAGAATTATCTAGAATTGCTGGGCAGTGGTACCAGTACACTGCTCATCTTGTAGTTGTTCATCGTACTGCTAGTCTGTCTCATCTTCCAAGCTGAGAGAGAAAGCAGACTGGAAATCTCATCCAGCTGAGATTTACATGTACATGATATACTTTTTTTTTTTTAATTTTAAACCCCTTTCTCCCTCTTCTTCCATGGCTCACACTCCCCTCCCCTGCATTTTTCTCTTAGGCAAAAGGCGCAGATGAAAAGGGAAAATGGAGGGAAGGAAGTAAATGAAAGGCTCCTGTTCCACGGAACCAAGACCTCCGTCGTGGAAGCCATCTGCATTCACAACTTCGACTGGAGAATTTGTGGAAACAATGGAACTAACTATGGAAATGGTACGTAGAAGTGACTTTGTGTGTTAGATGTCTACTTAGATTCCCCTGCTACTAGAGCAATCAAAGTTTTGAAGTCTTTAACTATAGAGGGTGAAAAAAAGAGGTAGGAATTGGTATTATGATCTTCCTTTCCTCTGGAGAGGACGAGAATTTGCTTTGTGTGTGGGTAAGTCTTTTCACAAGGCGTTAAGACAATTAATGTAGGGATTTGAAAAAGCCTCTGTTGCTGCAGGTGGGATCTTCTGAAGGGTCAAGGTCATAATTTGAACTTGCCAGAGAAATGGCCGCTAGTCTTCATGGCAGGGGCCAAGAAGGGTGTGCATTCCCTCAGCATGATCGTGGAAGGTCCTCATGTTTTCTTGTCTATCCCTCTCATCATAACACACATACCTGTAGTGTTTTCATATGTTTTGTTTTTTTAAAAATTATTCCTAAAATAGCAAACTCTGAATGGAAATTATGTGGTGAAATCCTTTCTCTTGTAAAAATTTCTATGGTATTATGTAAACTGAGTAAGAGAAGACCTGTTGGTCAAAGTTGGGTCAAATACCTCCTGAAAAACAAGGGGATGCTCAGTTTTCACTGCCACTTTATATATATTCCTTACAACCATGTTTTCATGTTATTTTCTAGGAAGTTACTTTGCTAGAGATGCTTCCTATTCCCATACATACTGTCAGCCTGCGGTGAAAACAAACATCATGTTCGTGGCTCGTGTATTGGTTGGAGATTATGTTAAAGGCAATGCAGCCTACGTTCGCCCCCCGACAAAGTCTGTTGGTGGGCTTCGGTTTTATGACAGCTGTGTGGACGATGAGTTAAATCCCTCCATTTTTGTTGTCTTTGAAAAACACCAGATTTACCCAGAGTATATAATAGAGTATAAGGAGGAAGAAAAAAAATGTATTGTATCTTAGAGGGATCAGAGCTGTTTGTATCCCTCATCTTATTTTCCATATTGCAGGTGTTCTCACACTCGGTGACTTCTTTCTTTTTAATATAATCCTTTGGAATGTTAATCCAAAGAATTTCTGTATTGAGGAGGGCTGGCAAAACAGATGTTACATTTGTTGAGACTAATTGCCTTGTCTTCTCCTCTTCCTCTCTTAAATGAAGCATAGACATTTGGATAACCATAGCAGAAAAATCAGAATCATGGGATGGGAAATAGAATGTCATGACTTCTGTGGGCAAATAATTGTAAAGGCATTTTCTTAGAAATAGAGTAGAGAGGATTTCTCTTTGTGAACAGTTCAGTTAAGAGAAAAATTAACAGTACAGTAGTTTTTAAGCAAACTCTCAGGTTTTTAGTAGTCAAAGATCTTTTCAGTGCAGAATATGGCTGTCGTTGATCCTGTTGCCTATCACAATTCTAAACAAATCAGTGTAGGTAAGAATGACTTGACTTAGTTTTCCAAGTGCTGCTTGTTAGTTTCTGATACTAGTTTCAAGTTTAAAATGGTAAAACAAAAAAATAAAAAGCTTATTTTAAATCCATGTCGTTACGTTCTCAAGTGGAGAAGTTTCATCTGTACAATGGCAGCTACTGTTTGGATCAGGAAATTGTTGGATCAAGTTTTTTCTGCAGATCTGCAGTAACTTGCTGTGTGACCTATACAAAAATAGAGCTCAAGTGAAACTGTGAAAGTCACAACCTATGAATAAGCAGGGGCTAAAATTTGGTGGTTGGCTGCAACTAATGGCTGTAAGTATATAAAGGCTGTGTCACAACAAGCCAGGCTTTCAAGTGAATGTGGCCACGTATTTTCTCAATGTGAACATTTGCTTAGCAAATGCTATAGGACAGGAGAAGCATCTTAAGGAGCATTGGTATTTTCTGTCCTATTTGTATACGTTAATTTTCGTTTTTCCAGAAATCAGACATGACTGGAAGGGACCGGTTATGTTCTCTCGAGGCCAGTGGTAGAACTGCTGTCCTAAGGCACTTTGTATACGTGTTTTGTTGCCCACATCACATTGGGCAACTCGCTGACAAGTGTAGTTCCTCGTTGTGTCTTGAGGTAGCTACGGGTGATCCTGGATACTGCTTCCCTGGGTCTGCTTTTGATAAACTTGCTTTGTCTCCATCAGTGATGTACAACCCTACTAATGGTGGTTAAGCCCTCTTTTATTAAGTTATATGCTTTTTATTGTCCCAAAAAGAAAATACAGAAACTCATATAGAGTTTCTACTGAATTTTAATAAGGAGTTTGTAAGTTAATTGAACTGAATACCCTCTGTACAAAGATGTCTTATTCAGGCAGTCTAGCTGTTAAGAGGGAAACCCTTGCTGAGGACAGAGGAGCAGTAAGTTTTGCTTTCAGATAAGCTGTACGGTAACATGAATAACCTCCCAGTTATTTGCATCTTTGATACAGATCCGTCAACCACATGTACTACTCAAAGTTTGCAAGTTACCAAGAGGATGGGGAAATATATAAAACTAGGAAATCTTACTAAAATTCCTGTCTTAGAACTAAATGAAAACATTGCATCAGTAATGCATTAAAAGGGGAAGATTTTACTACTTTTTAAGATCTCTCTCTTTTGTTTGCCTGTAGTTCCCGAATCGTTGAGTTTTGCCATATTTGCAAATAAAACGTGTTTTCGCTCACTTTTTGCTCATTAGTGTGCAGTTTGTCTCCGTACGTAAACTTAACAGCACAACTAAACAGACCTAGTGAACTAGCCACTTAATACATGTCCTCAGTGTCTTCCTTTCATCTGTGTTTCTGAACCGGGGAACTGCATGGATGTAGTTTTACATTTTAGTGTAGACGCTTAGCTAAGTATGAAGGATACAATACAGTCTGATTCACAGAGAATATTTCTGTACATGAACTTCCTAACTAAGATACCCTTAAGTGCTGTAGTAGTTTGGTTGGACTCCATGTAATTAAACAGCTGCTCTGAGCCGTTGTTGAAGTCCTAAAAAAAGGGGAAAGAATAAGGTGAAGTAGTAGCAGAACTACTGGTTTTAATACGTAGAAGTAGTCAGGTATTGACTTATTCTAAGGATGCACTTGTTTGAACATCTCGATGAGTTACTTTTAAAGAATCTGAACTAAGCACCTGTAAGACTCAGTGCTGCACTTCCCCCCACCCCTGTAAGCTACAAGACAGGCAAGCATATGGAGAATGCCAGTGAGATGCTGACAACTTAAAATCAATCCAAATCACAAAATCTAGAGGAAGGACAAGGGAAGAAACGGGAACTCCAGTGCTGTGCTTCACATTGTCAAAACTGCACTTCCATAGGTCTGGCAAGAAATGCTGCGGGTGGGGGCACAACTCTCTCGTGCACAGGATATTGGCTATTTAATAGCCAATGGTGGGGTTGGACTGTAGATGAGAGCTGCTCTGGGGAAGGAAGGAAGGAAGGAAGGAAGACAAGAACTCAGTCTGGGATAGGTCTGGCAAGAAATGCTGCGGGTGGGGGCACAACTCTCTCGTGCACAGGATATTGGCTATTTAATAGCCAATGGTGGGGTTGGACTGTAGATGAGAGCTGCTCTGGGGAAGGAAGGAAGGAAGGAAGGAAGACAAGAACTTCAGTCTGGGTAACTGAGCTGAAGAGGGAAGAAAGCTAGAAAAAACATACTCTGAATGCAGGAGGATGGACCATAAAGAAAAAAAAGGTTCTCCCACCTACTGGCACCCCAGCCTCTTCCTAACTGACACCGAGAAAAACAGCTTGCAAGAGAAATGCCATGCTTGCCACAGGCCGACAGTAATCCTTTGCCCTTTGAGCTTGGTAAAAGGCATAGTGTGTGAGAGGAGAGGAATAATGCCTTGTCTGGCAGCTGTGTAGCCACTGGGCTGAATTATGGTTCCAGTTGTTGCTGCAACAAGCCAGCTTCAAGGTAAGACCAAATCAAAGTGTGTTTTCATGATAACCAACAGAATTCTGGAAGTCGTTTTTTTTCATCCTAGTGACTCCGAGCAGAAACCATATTTGCTTTTTTCTGGCAATCCTAGCTCTGCCTATTGAGACTGCTGCTTGTGAGCCATGTTTTTGTCTGAAATAGCCTACGTGTGATAATAGCACTTCGATTTGTCACTGCTGATGCTTTTCTTGGATTTCTGGATTGGCTAAAAGCAGGTTATTGACTGCCCTGCTGCATCTGCCTCATTCACTAGCCTTATGTTATAATCTGATTAATGGCTTTCAGGGAATTCAATAGGTGCAGAACAAGCTGGTTCAGAAAAGGCTAAAAATGCATTTGCTAAAGGCATATTCCGTGTTTAATCCAGTAACCTCACCTTCTTTTAGGCATGGCATTATAAGGACTCTTCATGAACACAGATACTGCTGCTCTTGAGTTCTGGATGCCTTCTTTTTGTTCCTGTTTTTAGACTGAAGGAATAACTACTTCTCATGTCCCAAGACACAGGAAGAGTTTAGACAATAGCACCACAGAATGTGTTATGAGCAGTACCACCGTACATTTTTTTATTTAAAAAAAAAAAAATCTTAACAAGTTTGTTGCATTTTACCTCTCTCTAGATATAATTTTTTCCAGTCTACCCCTGTGAGCTGGGGTGCCAACCAGCTAGTTTGCTTACAATGAAGCGTGGGCCAGATGCAATCCTAGCAGTCAGCTGGTCAGCAGCTCTGTTAGTTGTGTCTCCTCCCTCCACCCCGCCCAAAACCCTTCAAGTATTAAGATGGGGAGTGTTTTGAGGTATCTGTGAACTGGAATGGTGTGAGCAGAGTTTCCTAGCAAGGCTCTGGGGCTTTGTTTTGCTTTCTGGCACATTCAAGCCCCTGCAAAAAAAGATGCTACGTTGGCGACAGCTCTGAAGAAGTGAAAGCTGTGAATGTGTAGCCCTCTGGCACAGCTGCTCTTTGGGTTCTCACATCTCAAAGACAAGGCAGCTCCGAGTAGCAGTCTGCAAGACAAATGCAATGCCATTTTTCAGGAAAAAAGACTCGAGGCCTCGGAACAAGCCCGTTCAGCGATGCCAAGTGTTGTCGTGGCCTGTGAGACTGCATGGTGGCTGTACACAGGTAGGTACAATATCCTCTCGAAAGGTCTTGGTCAGTAGCTACGCATGCTTTAAAGAAGTTAGTTAAAGAAGCTATCACTTGCAGAGGTTCCTGCAGCTGACTGAGGCCTTTATTTTGTATTTGAAAAGGTCTATATGTATGCCTTTATCAGGAAAATGTGGGTTGAAAACTTGTTTAAAAAAAATGCTTCACCCTGTGTTAATAAATCTGGTCTTGATTTGCAAACAACAACAACAAAAAGACTCAAAACCAAGGTACCTGCTATGATAGTTGGTCATGATACTACTGAAGCTGTGACAGGCTTTCTTCACCAACAAAACCAAGAAGCTGTAGTACTGGAGGGCTTTGGGGTTGAGTGGCAGGAGCCTAGGCAAGGCCTTCGATGATGGGTGACAGCTGTGCTTTCACAGCAGTCTCCTATACCTACCACAAATCATCACGGTAGGTTTTAGTACAGCTTAACGGCACTAACAGTCTAAACCAAGTCTTTAACAACTCTTTTAATGGGTCCTAAAAGCTGGACCCTCTGTAGCAATGATTTTCTAAAGAACCTTTTGGTTCCGCTTGCTTGATGTTAACAGAATTGTTATAAATATGGCAGTACCAGGTCTGACAGTAGTGAAGTCCTATACAGCATCACCAGCTCCCTGTTGTATTGCACTGAGCTACAAGAAACAGCTAATGCTGAAGAAGCCGTAGAGGTAGCTGAGCTGATGGCGTACGTGGTCTCAGCACAGATGACTAAGAAAGCACTTCAGAAAAGGCTTGTAAAGTGGGGGTATTGCCCTTGCAGCCACTCTGGGGATCATGAAAAATACCATCAAAGTTAAAAGGAGACGTTTCCTGATGTAATGCTGGGGGGAGAGTTACTGCCTGGGCTCAAATTCCGATGTACAGCACAGAGGACAATTACCTCTGCCCCTCTTAATCCAGAAAAAAAGTGCCACAGAGGTGGGGAGAGATGGCCTGCTAACTTTAACGGGTGTGGCAAAGATAGAACAAAAGCAAGGATGGGGATGTGTTTGTATTTGCATAACCTGTGCAAAAACTGTGTCTTTTTTGTAAGCAGCAGATGTTTACATAAAGTTTGTATCAACTGCTTTTCAACTGCTCTGCTTGGATATAAAAAGGTGAGCTTTTAGGAGTCAGCATGGTCCTTGGTCAAGTTCTTCCTCTCCTATTGTTCTTCCTACTGAGCTACCTGCTTGTTAAATTATTTTCCATAATGGTAACTGAAAACAATTCAGCATAGCATGGTGAAGCAAGATAGAATGGTTCGAGTATTTTAGATAAAAATAAGGGGAAGATAAGGCAGAAACCCAGTTCTCATTTATGGGCAAAATGTGTAGTACTAGTTGAATGAAGAAGCTTCCAGTCACTTTCATGGAAGCAAAGAGGACGCATACTGTTACAGGTTTATGAAATTAAGCTGAATAGCCCATTTAAAAGCTTCATCCATATATGCGAAGAAGTCATATACTTGCTGCTCAACTGAGCACATCTTTGAATTTATTGATGTAAAGCAGACAAAATTCTCAATCACATTATGTCAAAAGTACTACAAAACATCATTCTTAAATTTGTGTAGCAATGGGTCACATAAACTACGCACTTCAGAGCCAGCCAGCAGATTTCTCAGGCTTTTGTTCCCTAATAAGATTTGTTATATTCCTTGAGTAAAAAGTTACCTGTCTAAAGTCATTGCTTGAAATGCACTGATTAAAAATAATAGTAAAAATCTAGTGTGACAGAGTGAGCCAGTCAGTCATGGCTGGACAGATAAAGCAGTGATGAAGCTGAAGAACAGGGAACTATGACTGTCTGCAGAATTCAAAAGGCTGCAGGCAAGGATGCAATTTGTGAAACCATATTATCATTGACTTAAAAACAAACTATTTTTTCCTCAAGTAAGGGCTGGGGGAAGGGTGGCACCAAGGCACTTCCACATCTTACTCCTCTATGCAGGAACTCCAGGGGAAGCGCAGGGCCAGCTATGAAAGTGCTTTTTTAGGTCAAAAGGAAACAGGATGTGGGATGGGGCTGCTGTGGGACATGGGGAAGAGTGAGCTAGACAGGAAGGAGGGGCAGGCGTGTGTGTCCAGGAGAGCTTGCAGATGTGATACCAAAGCCAGAGCTTGGGCAGTGGAAGAGTGTGGCATTTCTATTCAGGAAGAAGAAGAGGAGGCATTAGTTCAGCTTCAGTTTGAAATATCGTCTTTCCCTTCATTAGGGATTTCTGGATTCCTGTTGCAAGACAATCTGTTAGCTCTGCTACGCTGCAGGAATCCAGAGGCACCAGAACTTCACAGAGGCACGTGGCTCATATCATGCCTCATTTGCAGCACCACAGCTTGTCGCATCACTTGTACCGGGACAAAGCTTTCTGTCTTCGCTCTCCTTCTATGGCAGAAGCTCCCTTCCAGTCTTTACCTGCTCTGAGATACCTCTATAAAGCGCGCGCGCTTTAACACTGGTTTTAAACTCTACTTTGCTAACATGTAGCGATTCGTGCTATTGAGATGATAGTAAAGCCTGACTTTCCAAAAGCTCAGGTAAGCACAAAGACGCCAGTCCAAACTACCATGTTTTAGCTGAAATCCAGGCTTTTTCTTTTTTTTCCTGAAAGATTTAAAAGGGCCAAGGGAGTATCTGTGTTAGAATAGTCACAGTCAGCTATTATCCCTCTTGTCTGGTTTCATTCACGTAGTAATTTCAGAAAGCTCTGAGGTGCTA